AAAGTGTTCTATGGTTTTCTCTGTGCTTTCCTCAATTTTGTCAGTGTTTTTCTTGATCTGTCTCTCAATCCTTTGAAGGTACCTAAATACAATTCTTTTAAATTTCTTATCAGGGAGTTCCAATGCTGCTTCTTCCTCAGGGATGTGTTCTGAGGCTGTATCCTGCTCCCTTGTTTCTCCTGCTTTATCTTGCTTCTTTATGTGGACTGTGATGCTCTGTTGTCTCTGAGGCATTGTGACTTTTTGTGTTTATATTTAATTGGTGATTGTATGTTGGAGTGACTTACCTAAGATTTTCATTTTCTTTGGATGCTATCTACATAAGCAGAGTACTGTGTTCCTCTATTCACCAGGTGGCAGCACTTATGCACTCACCACCTGTCTCCTTTCCCATTGTCAGGCTCCCATATGTCTCTACCATCCTTGGCAAACAGAGCCTATTCTTAGGTCCCTGGAATCTGAATCTAAAGATTAATTCTTATGCACATGAAAAGATTTCTCCAAAAGAATGAAGAGAACCTACAGATTGGGAAAAGATATTTGGCAAAAATATATCCAATAAGGGACTTATCCCTAAAATACAGAGAAAACTTCAATACCTCAATGTCAAAAAAACAAACAATCCAATTAGAAAATGGGCAGAGGCCATGAACAGACACTTCACCAAAGAAGACATTCAGGCAGCCAACTAACACATGAAGAAATACTTGTGATCATGAGCCATTAACTCACTGCCATCACGTCAGATCCAACTCATAGGGACCCCTCCTTGGGTTTCTCAGGCGATATCTCTAAGGAAGTAGATTGCCCCATCTTCCTCCTGAGGAGTGACTGGTGGGTTTAAACTGCCAGCCTTCTGGTTAGCAGTCAAATGCCTTAGGCACTGTGTTAGACTGGGTTCTCTAGAGAAACAAAAACCAGCAAAGCTTATATATATATAAAGAGAGAGAGAAATTTATCTTAGGAAAATGGCTCACAACGTATAGAAGCCAGCAAGTCCAAAGTCCCTGGAGCAAACGTCAGGCTGGAGGCTTTTCTTAGCTTCTGCAACCATAGGGGGCTGAGAAGCTCAAGGCTGGTAAGCAGTACACCGGCTGTTGACTCCAACGAATGATGAATCCAAGATCTCCAGGCTGAACGGTGAAGTGCTCACTCACGGAAAGTTGTAGGCAGCACACAAGAATCCCGATCCAAAGAAGAATGTCTCTCTTCCCAGGATATCCTGGAAGCAGGCCACACCCTAAGGAAACTCCCCTTGAGCAGATTGGCCACTCAGAACACAGTCATCCGATCCCATCATGGGAACAACCACATAGAACTGGGGTCTAGCCAAGTTGACACACAGCTCCAACTATCACAGGCACTATGCTACCAGAACTCCTCATTAGCCATTAGAGAGATGCAAATCAAAACAACAATGAGATACCATCTTGCCCCAGCAATAATAGCAAAATTTAACAATACAGAAAACAACAAATGCTGGTGAGGTTATGAAGAGATTGGAACTCTCATACACTGCTGGTGGCACCACTATGCAAGCACTGTGGAAAACGGTATGGTGCTTACTTAAAAAGTTGGAAGCAGAAATACCATTTAATCCAGCAATCCCACTGCTACGTAATTATCCTAAAGAAGTGAGAGCTAGAACACGATAGATACGCGCAACACTATTCACAATAGAAAAGAGATAGAAAAAACCTAAGTGCCCATTAATAAATGAATGGATAACCAATCTATGGTACATACACACAATGGAATATTATGCAACATTAATGAAGAATCTGCAAAACATTTCATAACATGGATGAACTTGAAGGACATTACAACAAGCAAAATACTTCAATCACAGAAGGACAAATACTGTGAGTCCATACTATGAAAAATCAAGGAAAGGTTTATATAGGGAAGGAAAATTTCTTTGTTGGTTACCAGGAATGGGAGGGGAAGGGAGGGAAAATTGCTAGCTGGGTAAGACATAGTGATTTAGGTGAAGGGAAAGGCAATATACCAAAAGCAGGTGACCAGCACAGTATCACTAAGAAAAAGGAAGACATAGAGAGGTGTACAAGAGGTGGAGACATAAAAGGTGAATACACAATATTGTATCATCAGTAATAACAAACATGACTCTATGAGTGGACACACAGGTAGACAAGCAAGATAATCAGGTATGGCTAGGCAAATGGGAACATACCCATGTTCTATATATAGTCATGGGTATATGATATTTCTATATACGTATTTGTACATGCTATATAAGTGTCCATACATATAATAGAGCTAACAGAGGGCAAAGTTATGATAACAAGTTAGCCACAACCAAACACCTTAAGGGATTGATTCATTGGGTCTACAGGCTTGGGACCATGGTCATGGGGACATCAAGCATAAATGGCGTAACTTACGTCCGCAAAAACATTGTTCTACATCCTACGTTGGTGAATACACAATTGGAGTCTTAGCATCTTGTGAGTGGCCATCTAGGATTAACTATTGGCCTCTTCTCATCTGGAGCAAACAAGAATGAAGAAAATCAAAACACATGAGAACAATTAGTGCAAGGGACTAGTGGACCATGGGAACCTACATGATCCTGAGACCAGAACTAGACGGTGCCTTGCTACCACTGCCAACCACTTGGAAAGGGATCAAAATTGGAGATCCTGGATAGAGTGGGAGAAAAAAGTGGAACAACATACAAAACTATGTTAAAAAAAAAAAAAAAAAAAACCAAGCTTACTGGTCTGACAGAGATAGAGAGTGAAACCCCTGAGAGTATGGCAAATAGTCACCCTTCAGGCCTGGAAGTGAACTCACTCCCGTGGCTTAACCTTCAACAGAGCAACAGAAAGGGTTACAAGGTGAATAATTATACCAGGGAGGTGCGCTCCTTAGAATAATCAGCCGTGGGAGGTCAGAAGGGCAGCATTTGCATGAGGTGAAAGCTCAGAAGGCAGAAAGGAATAGGAAAGAAGGACACAGGGAAAAGATAACCACAGGCAGGAAGTGGGAAGAGAGCTGTTAACATTGTAGGGATTGCAATCAACGTCATGAAACAAAATGTGTATGAACTGTTGAATGGAAAATGAATTTGCTCTATAAACTTTTACCCAAATCATAATAAAAAGTTAAAAGAAAAAAAAAATAGATCTTTACTATAAACTATGGACGTTAGTTAATAGTGTGTCAATATTGGTTCATCAACTTTAGCAAATGGACTATACTAATGTAAGATGTTCATAACAGGAGAAACTGTGGGCCAAGGGGCATAGGAAAAAATAAAGAATACTTTGTACTTTCTGCTCAATTTTTCTGTAAACTGAAACTACTGTAATAAAAAAAAAGTTTATTAATTTAAAAAAAGCATATCAGAATAAAAATGTTAAATTTCCCTTCTTAAAAGACTGTAAGATGGGATGCTGGATGTGTATGTGTGTTTCTAAGGGGGACATTTCTCTAAAAGAACCAAATAAATCACAATGCCTCTGTCAGAGATGTATAGTTAAGATTATACTTGGCATATTGTAGAGGTCTATCTTGGCCCTAGGTGTGGGTATGTCTGAGAGAAGAGTTATTCTCTAGACTCTGAACTTGGTTCCTCAGATTCCTAAGGACCTAACCACTTTTCCTTGTGTTGCTACTCATGTATTCCAGGAAAGGCCCACTGATACTTCCAGGACTCGCTATTCCTTTTGAAGCTAATCCTTGGTCTCTCATATTTATCATCCCTTAACTGCTGGCCCCCATCCTAATGGGCAAATATCATTCATAGGATAGGGATGTGCCTATACCTGAGATACAGAGGGAATTTTAGAGTAAGGTTCGGGATTGACCACTTTAAATAAGGTAAATGGTCATCCAGAGGAGGTTCTCAGGACAACAAAGTGGTTAATTAGGTCGCATACAAGGTTTGGGGTCTGAAACGGGCTGTGTGGTATGGAGTAGGAATGATGTAAGAGGCACAAAGCAGCAGAGCCCTGGGTTCTGCCAAGAGATATCCACAACCCCCTGCACTGGAACCTTTAGTTTAAATGACTCATAGGAGTAACGGATACCAGGAGGGGTGGGGGAAGGGTGTTCCACAGCGACTGGGGCTGAGGGAAGAAGGATAAAGTTTTTTGTTTTCTCGGGGCCTCATCCTGGTTCAGAGTACTGGCGGGAGCTCTGCAAGCTTCCTCTCCTTGGTATACTCCTCTATGAAAACAGCAGCAACTCAGCTAAGAAACACTGAAACTGTTGTCTGATGAAGGTTACGGAGTAAGACTATTCCTGAAGGGACAGAGCACAGCAGGAACAGGAAGAGACATGATCAAAAGGCAAGTGTCATCATGTAATACTCAGTGATGGGAGCAGCTATCCTTCTGGCAGGCAGCATAGCTTTGTCCAAACAACTGTTGCTGAAAAAGATCTGGTTCCTAGGAAAGACTATTGAGAGAGAGAGGTCCAGGATCATGAGCTGTTTCACTTGGGCCATTACAATGACATCACCAGTTAGGTACTTTGCCTCCTTCCTGACCCCTCTCCTATGAAATCAAGTGGTCATGGGTAAGGTTTGGAATGATTTTTCATCTAGGAGTCACCAAATGGGGTATCTGAAAATGGGCCCTTTCCTTCTCAGGCTGCATATCATCACGTTGCTGTTAGGGCCTTTTCTTCAAGGGATACATTGCAAGCAGGAATCTCTTTATCGTGAAATAATCATCCCTAGGAACCTGATGATGTTCAGAAGACTGGAAGGAAAAGCAGAAAAGGTATCTTACGTCCTACTGATAAGAGGAAAACGGCATATTATTAACCTGAAGCAGAAGAGAGGATTGTTTGTCAAGAACTTCCCTGTTTATACCCATCAAAATGGGAGACGAGGCTTGGACATGCCTTTTATACAGGATGACTGCTACTATGATGGGCACTCAGAGGGTGACAAAGATTCTCTCGTGACTATCAGCACTTGTTCTGGACTGAGGGGACTCCTGACCTTACATGGCAATGTCCTTGGCATCAAGCCTATACATACCTCAAACCATTTTGAACATATGCTTTACAGCATATCTCTCAGATCAGAGGAGTCCTGTGCCGTCAGCGGAGAGGAACAGGAAGAGCCCTTAACCAATTCACAGTTTCAGAGAGGACCAGAACCCTCCTCAGTGCCTACGCCTTCTATGTGGTCCCACCCCAAGTATGTGGAAATGTTTATTGTGGTTGACAATAAGCGGTTCCAAATGTGGAATAATAATGTGACCAAGACAACGCAGATGGTAATGGATATCCATGCTCTGGTCAACAGGTTCATGAGGGAACTAAATGTGAAAGTAGTACTTACTGGGTTAGAGATCTGGACAGAGAGAAACCTAGTGCAAATCTCCCTGAATCTGCAGGAAATGCTTCAAAATTTTAACCAATGGAGAGACTTGCATCTTTTAAGAAGGGTGAAGCATGATGTTGCGCACATGATTATTGGCCAAAGTCTTGGAAAGTACCAGGGCCAGGCATTTCTCAGTGGTATCTGCACTGATAAGAATGCAACCAGTGTTGAATCTTTTTCTCATGAAGATATACCCCATCTGGCAGCTCTCATGGCTCATGAGCTTGGCCACAACCTGGGTATGAAGCATGACCATGTGGCCTGCAGATGCCATGGCCAAAATCTCTGTACTATGCATGAATTTATCACTGTAGATAAGGGCTTCAGCAACTGCAGCTTCCACTACTTCTACCAGCTGTTGCATAAGCATAGAGGGGACTGCCTTTTCAATAAGCCTGAGCTCCAGAGCTCCTTTGGAAAGTCATATTGTGGGAACAAGATAGTGGATCAAGGAGAAGAATGTGATTGTGGCAGTGTCCTTGATTGTCAAAAGGATCACTGCTGTCTGCCTTCATGCCAGCTAAAGAAGGGCTCAGATTGTGCGTTTGGATCCTGCTGCAAAAACTGCAAATTTCTAAAGGCAACCACACCCTGCCGACCCAGCGTGGATGAGTGTGATCTCCCAGAGTACTGTAATGGCACCTCCAAGTGGTGCCAGGCAGATACCTACAAGCAAGATGGTACTCCTTGCAAAGAACAAGGTTACTGTTACCAGGGACAATGCAGAAGCCTGGAGAATCAGTGTGTTAAAATCTTTGGACAGGGCACTAGGGTGGCTCAGGAAAATTGCTATCATTACATGAATACCAAGGGGGACAGGTTTGGGAACTGTGGCAGTGACTATAAAGGCATGTTTAAGGTCTTCCACAAGTGCAAGGCCAAAGATGTAAAATGTGGGAGGCTACTATGTGAAAACATCCAAATGCTCCCACACATTGAAAAACATCACACACTTATCCAGTTCCCCATGCAGGACATGTGGTGTTGGGGTGCAGAGTTTTTTGAAGCCACAGACAAGGCTGATGAGGGGGAGGTGAAGGATGGTACTCCATGTGGTCCACAGAAGATCTGTATCAATCGAACCTGCTTAGATACCACTGTTCTCCACCATGACTGCAACCTGGAAAAGTGTCATGGAAGGGGTGTTTGCAACAATTTGAAGACCTGCCACTGTGCCTATGGATATGCCCCTCCAACATGTGAATCTGAAGGCTATGGGGGCAGTTTGAACAGTGGCCCAGCTCCACGTGTCTCCTCTGACTCTCAGTATGGCAAAATGCTGAATTTTCTAATCTGGGTCTTGCCTATCTTTTTATTACTCCTCATTTCTACTCTCTTTTTGTTTGCCTACATCCATAAAAGATCTAAGACCAGTGTCAACGTAAAAAATTCATCAGAGCAGCAAGATGAACAAACATGACAAACATTTGTTAATTATCTTCATTCTGATAATAAAGCCCAATATAAAATGATACTAAAGGTACCATTTAAGAGTTGGACTGTTTTTTTTTTTTTTTGTCCCATCTGTTTTTATATATGTTTAATGTTTTTAAGTTTCTAAATTTAAAGACACTCCCTAGGTGAGACATTCTTTCTTGGTCTGTGCTATATAGAAATCAGGTCTCCAGAGCCCTGGGTCAATGAGAGGCCTCAAGATGTGGTCTTGACATGGTAAGGGGCCATGTTAGGGCTGAGTTCCACGGCCTAAAACCTAAAGATTTATTACTGAGCTCCCTAACATTTCTAAAGAGAGCTACTATGGAACTTAGTTTCTGGTCTTTGGAGCTCAACTTCCAGAGTATCCCATTTTAGCCTTCCATTATAATGCTGTCCCATTTTTTCTAACCTTAAGGATTCTGCTTTGGAAAGACTAAAGTAAGTCATCAGGAGCTCTGGTAGCGTGGTGCCTAAGGCACTTGACTGCTAACCAGAAGGCTGGCAGTTCAAACCCAACAGCCACTGCTCGGAAGGAAGATGGGGCAATCTATTTCAGTAATGATACTGCCTTGGAAACCCAAGGAGGGGTCGCTATGAGTCGGGTCCGACTTGACAGCACATAACAACAACAACATAGGTTGAAGGGGAGCTCTGGTAGTATAGTGCCTAAGGCACTTGACTGCTAACCAGAAGGCTGGCAGTTCAAACCCACCAGCCACTCCTCGGAAGGAAGGTTGGGCAATCTACTTCCGTAGTGACACCACCTCAGAAACCCAAGGAGGGGTCGCTATGAGTCGGATCTGACTCGATGGTGCATAACAACAACAACAAAATTAGGTTGAAGGAGCTCTGGCAGCACAGTGCTTAAGGCACTTGACTGCTAACCAGAAGGCTGGCAGTTCAAACCCACCAGCCACTCCTCAAAAGGAAGGCTGGACCATCTACTTCTGTAGTGATACCACCTCAGAAACCTAAGGAAGGGTTGCTATGAGTCAGGTCTGATTCAAGAGCACATAACAACAACAACATTTGGTTGAACGATGTAAAACTGTATTAGTCCATGCTGGCCTACAAAATTGAAAGTTCATATGGTTGAACCGGGAAATTAACCACATCCAGGCAGTATGAAACAGACCTCAGACTGCTATTTGTAATTTAGAGTTGAGAGCTATTGATCCCTAGAGTTTCTAATCTTTTACTGCTGATTTCTGTTAAATTTCATTATTCTCTGTAACTTTAAAAGGTTAACCTTAATTTTCTAGAGCAGAAGATACCTATTGTTCAGGTCCTAAAACAATGAACATGTGAGAAACTAGGATATAGTGTCTCTGAGGAGCCCACTGCCACTTTTTTTGATAACTGTTGTCCTTGCTTCTTAGAGTTACCAAAACTCTTTAAAGAACAGAAACCCAGGACTTTCAATGGCCAACCTCAGAGAGACTAATAGCAACACTAAGACCTGAGAAGGGTGCTGAATGTCTCCCTCCTCACCACTTCCCCTGCAACCACAGAGAGCTTGAAAATGACACATATGAAAAATTACCTTGAATTTATTTTTTCTAGACGATATTTAAAAATCTAATATTGTTGAGGTAACATGAGTCTATCTATTAGATGGAAGGTGGCTTCATCTCTCTTAACAGAGAAGAATTTAAGGACTACTAGTGAACCTGGGAACAGCTAGAGAGAGAATCTCCAATAGATTGGCTAGAATAGCCAATTCACTCAGAATAGCTACTAACCATGGCACTATATTCCCTTCCAGTTCCACAGTTTAGGGTATGGTCATAAAAGACTTAAGACATCTTTCTCCACCATTCTTTCCAATCCGTTTGTGTGGAATAACTCTAGTTGTTGCACATTCAGTATAATAGTTTCAAAGAATAGTGGAGGTGTTGGTAGCACAAGCAAGGGTAGACTCCAATGGTTCTAACCCTCTGCTATAGAATCTCTTCTGTGAGCACAGTAATGGTGTCTGGGTGTCTGCATCACGCCGAACCTCTTGCTTTAGTTGGTGGAACTTGTGCTGTGTCCAGCCATACACTCCACAGTTGAGCAGCCCCTGGGATGCTGCTGTTAAAGCCTGGAGGAGATGAAGGGGTGATGGAGACCATCCTTCAGGTTTTCAGAGTCCCAAGGAACAGTCCCCACTCCCCATATTTACAAAGCATTGTTATATTTCCTCTATCTCAGACATCTTGATCAAGCGACAGTCTTTCATATATTTCTAGCTCTTCCTGAACTCACTCTTCACACTCTTTGTCATGGATGACTGACAGTTGGTCATATTTCTTACAATACACATTTCTCATTTATTGACATGGTTAGGTTGAAAAGACCAGGTTATTATGTGAAAATCAGTGTTATGTGAAAATGGAAAACGACCACATAAAATCATAAAACAGGCAATGGCTACATCATTACACGACTGCCAAATTATATCATTATATAACTGCCAAACCACTGAGAATCATGATCCAGCCAAGTTGACACATAACCTTAACCATCACAGCCAGCATTACTCTTACCTCATACCTCAGCATTCAGAACTGCCAGACATAGGTCATTAATGCACAAAATAGTTGGACAGTAGATTTTTTACTACTGTTGTGAATGCGAAATGTCAGACAACAAGATAGCTGATAAGTGAGGAATAGGTCTATGTATGTATGGACAATAAAGTGGCTTTAATGCCCCCTCCTTACTGCCCCATATTCCAGCTTAAGTTTGAGAAAACCATCCTATCAGCACAGTCAGCCCCAAAACCCATAAATCTGATAAAGGAAGAAAAGAAAATCATTCCATTTTCCCCATTCTATAGCTAACTTGTCCCATTAATTTCACCCTGGGTAAGGAAGAATCATGTCACTAGTATTTCATAATAACATAGCTTAGTAGGTCCTTGTTTTTTGCTGCCCATACCTTAAAAACATACCAATGAAATAAAGCTGACCAGATACACAGAAGTCTGGAATTCATGACATTACTTTGACAAAAGTATCTGGAAGGACAATTTCACATTTTTTCCAGACAGTATAAATATTTTCTGCTTAATGTATTAATGCAGAAATAAATACCCTGAGAAAAATAACTTGCATACTGAGTGAAAGAAGCATAAGAGAACAGGATAAGAATGTGTAAAAACAGAGATGCTAGATGCTGAAGGTGTTACCTGGAGAACATAGAGAGCCATGTGAAGCTTGGTGTCCTGTGAGTTGCTCAGCTTTATGACCATCAGAATGACAGCTAGGATAAACAAAGGATGAATCTTGTTGTCAGCCCCGGTTGCCCAAAACATACAATTCCCTAGTACACATGTCTAAACACTATTGTGGAATTACAGGCAATACACCAGCAGTGATATTAACCAGTATATAAGCCACTGGCATTGGCTTCAATTTTTATTTCTTATTAAACTGCTGAGAGCTCTGGCAGCTTAGTGCCTAAGGCACCTGACTGCCAACTCCTCGGAAGGAAGATGGGATAATCTACTTCCGTAGTGATACTACTGCCTTGGAAACCCAAGGAGGGTCGCCATGAGTCGGGTTCGACTCAAGAGCACATAACAAGAACAACAACACTTATTAAACTGCTAGCGTGGTAATGGGAGCTCTGGTAGCATAGTGGCTAAGGCACTTGACTGCTAACCAGAAGGTTGGTGGTTCAAACCCACCAGCCACTCCTCGGAAGGAAG